CGTTTTTCAAAGCTCGTTTTTAAGGTTCTATAAACGGTGCTGGCACTTCGGGAATGGTAGGGCTACTGGAGCTTAGGGCCCCAAAGCCTAAGCTTCCTAAACTCTAAACCGCCAAACCCTGAACCCTAAACCCCCAAACCCTAAACTTTAACACCCCAAGCCCTAAACCCAAAAGCTTAAACCTCAATGGGTTACTGGGTTTCGTAGTACATGATCTGATTAGTTACGGTAAGTGGAACCGGATGTCTGCTGAAAGATCGAAAAGGGGGCTACTAAACCCTGAGGCCCTATGGGTCCATGTACCCGACGAAGATATATTTTGGCTCTAAATTAAAGAAGTCCCTTCATAGGTAATTTGTTGTCAAAGTATCTACTAGTTGGGTACATGGACCCGTGTTTGAGGGCTCCTTTACGGGATCCAGTCGGATCCATGACAGGGTTGAAGGGTATGTTCCCGATATGGAGGGGTCTGGGTTTTAGAGGCATGTTAGACGTCTGAAAACACCAGTATGACTAGTAGCGATGGAGGGGTTCATGTTTTGAAGTCCTCTTGGGAGTGTTGGTGGGAGTGTACCTACTCAGGCTTTCATGCTGGGGCATCTGTGGGAACTGCGATGGTCAAGCTCAGAAGTCGGGATTAGGAAAGCATGCGACCTTCATCTCGGTTTAGGGTTGAGGGTTTAGGGTTTAGCCGTGATGAACGTGATCTTCCGTAGCTCGCAGTGGCACCTGAGCCCAGTCTCGTATGTCACATTCGGCTCCGTCTAGGCGGTCTTGACTCTTCTAAGTTGTGATGATGGGCTTGCATAGTTCGATGTAAACCCGAAACTTTAAACCCCAAACCCGAAACCTTATAATCCTACACCCTAAACCCAAAACCTTTGCCTTCTTTCAAGATAGAATGAAGACTCAAGGTTTTCAAGACCCCCGAACTGCGTTCTGCTCCGGAAGCTAGTGAAACCCAAGAAGGTATGCCACGACTGTGCTGAAAAGCCTCCGTTTTGGAGCACGTCTGCAAGAATTCCCACAGGCAAGTCCGCTGTTAAGGGCTCTGTCAGTCTTATGAGATATACAGGTGCCTGAATCGTTATCAATACCGCTTCTTCACAGTACCTGAGATGTGGATACTATCATGTCTCACAAAACCCTGTGCCAATTATGAAGCCTCCAACATTGCGGTCTTCTTTAGTGAACTCGAGCGTCCCAGAGGCTGCGAGAACTGTTCGGGCTCCTTATAGCGAATGGAAGTGCCTGACACACTCAATTAACCCTAATTCCTAAACCCTGAACCCTAAATCCTAAACCCCAAACCCTGAACACGCTCAATGACCTAGACAAGCAAGGGTGTTCACCAGTCGCTGATCTCGCAGGTCTGAATAGGGCTAGGTCTGGTCGGTGCTGGAATAACCTTGCTTTTGCACAGTCACTCTTTGCGCATTTCCTCACAGCTAACCTCGCTTGTGGGCATTGATCCTTAGCCATGCGAGAGGGAAAAAGAACCCTAAACCCCTGTTCTAACTGTTAAGGCTCCTAGAGGCTTCCTGGCAGTGGGCGGCCACGGCTACGAGGCGTAATCCTCAAGTTGATGTCAAGATAAGCCCGAGTCTACATGCTATGCGCCGGCAACAAGGTTGTAGTACGTGAAGAAGTATCGCAGGCGAGTTGGCGCTTCTTTACCTCGCAGCTTTGATTTGGCAGGGCGAGGGGCAAAAGACGTTTGTAGAACTTCGTGAATGTCCCTAAACCTTTTAAACCCTAAACCCTATAGACCCTATATAAACCGCCGAAATAGACCGTTATCTTCGAGCATCCTCAGCTTGCCCCAAGCAGCTTGCTCTGCCTTTTATACCAGGGCCTTGCCATCTCTCCGTTTCAACCGGCCGGGTCGCCAGCCTGGGGTTCACAGGGTTGAGGGTTTTTGGACGTAGTAGGGATCTTGAGCTCGAGGCTTGTGGTTTACCCATAGGCTCCTAAGTAGTTCCTTTTTATTGTTCATATTTAGAATCCTATAAGGTAATCCCAAAAAGGAACTACTAAGGAGCCTATGGATAGGGTTTAGGGGTTTAGGGTTGTGACTTTCAGATTCAGATTCGGGTTTCAGGCTGTTTTGCAGGGGAGTCGGTGATTTACACGGCAGGGTTCACAGGCCTGAAACTTAATCCAAGATGAAAGGCCCCGGAGCAGCGCGCTGCCCGTTAGTTCTGTATCAATTAAAGCATAAACCCTGGATTATAGGAGGGAGGGTTACTGTAAGAATGTAAGCTATCTTCCGGAAATACAGGGCTGTTGGGGCTTTCTGAATACGTACCTCGCACAGTCGAACCGTCCGGCGCCGCAGTTTCTTTGTCTGTAATTTCCATGGCCGGTAGAACAAGCAGAGCTCAGCCTGTCCAGGTCGGATCTCCCAAGTCCAGCAGTTCTGGGTTAAGTATAGGGTTTCGGGTATAGGGGCCTAGCATTCCTGAGGCCCCCCACAAAACCCGTCGATCATGTGTAGCTCCTCAGGGCATAATGTTTATGGGCGACACACTGCGGCTTACAACACGGCAATATAGGTCCAGATACTTACATAGTTAATGGGTTTCTGGCTTGCATACTCTCTGGTTAGTAACCTACTATTTAGGTGACCGTGAAGCAACACCCGAGCTCAGTGGCTCGCATGCCGGACTGTCTTATGGGCTCTACCGGCTGGAGGTCCGAAATCAACTAGTTACCATGGGGTTTAAATCCTAACGCCCTAAATACCATTGACTTCAAATCCAAGGCCTTATAATTAATAGAGATATATATATAATATAGTATATATATATAATATATACATATATATATATGTATAATATATATATATATAATATGTATAGCACGCTCGTAAAGCCGGATGAAAACCTTGTAGAACCTCCGAACATCCAAAAAACCCTAAACCCTACAAGCGCTAGCCTTTCAAAAGGACCTCGAGGGAGGGCGGGGCCACGGGCTTCGGCCCGACACACGGAAGCCCAAACCAGCGAGCAAACACTATACCTACAGTCTCCATTGTAGTTCCTTTTTGGGGTTACCCCTTGTAGGATCCGTAATACAGAATGGTTAAACCAACAAAGGAACTACTAGGTAGTTTAGGGTTAACCTGTAGCCGAAAAACGTACCTTTTAGAGTTCCTTATTATGGTTTCTATATGCACTTCCTCAGAAAGGTAAATTTTTGCGGGGCCACAGGTAGGGTAATATAGGAGCCTGAATAATTACCAAGACTACTCATGATGTTTCTTAATATAAGTATACCAAAAAGGAGTCCAAAACCCTATTCCAACTATTTCATTAATCTCTGCACTGCGTCAGACTGCGGATGGACAAATCCTGCATTACGTCAGGTGCACAACTATTGGCTTTATGGTATGTTCTCCACTAATTACGGATACTCCTTTCCTCCATCAGCTGCAGCACGCCAAAGAAACGACTAAGCAATCCCAACGACGTCAGCAGGCAGTACGGTTGTGTTTCCGTGGCTCTAAGCCTTGAGTCAGGAAGAGATCCCGACACGATGAGCGCGCACGAGCAGGTTTGGGGTTCAGCGTGGGTTCAGGGTTTAGGGTTTGGTTTAGGGTTTAGGGTGTAGGGTTTACGCTCTCACAACTCGGACAAGCCAGGCGAGGTGCAACAGGTGCGAGTCGGCGTGAAACTAAGTAGCTACATCAACCACCCTTGCCTCCCACTAGTCACAGAAAGCACGGGTTTAGGGATTTAGGGTTTAGGATGCAGGTGGCATTTTCGGGTTGAGGATTTCAGAATTGGGTTTAGGGCTCAGAGTCTTCCCCAAACAGTGCTAACTCTAAGGGTCAAAAGAATTGTTTTTGGTGGCCGCACGGCTCGCCGCGCTCAAACATTCCCTAGTGTGCACATAATACCGTATATTATGTTCACGGGATTCGTTGGAAACTGCTTCGCGGCGAGCCAGGTTTATTGTACCTTCCATGGGCCACTTTTCTTTTGGCGCATCCCGCCAATACAAGGGGAAAGCATTGGCTATGTTCTGGAAACCTCCTGAATCCCTCCAGTACTTGGGGCTTGTACCGTGGATAAAAAGTCTTTAACAGATAGGACCTATTTTGACTACTTGGAGCCAAAAGAGATTCCACAACCCCTCAAGTATGGGCAGATACCTACACAGTCATGTTTTAGGGTTCCGAACATAAGTTTGGGGATACTACTTAATTAGGACTCTGTGGACCCTTTATCTTACTGCTCCCCGTTCTCCGGTGCTTCGGTGGCGGACTGGTTTTGTCTGGCCCCTGTCGGGTCTTATGCCTATATGCTCCAAGCAGAAAGCCTTAAACAAACTACTACTCTACGCCTCTACACCCTTCTCCATAGCCATTTTGGCTTAGGTTCCCAATTTTGTAGCGATATTGAGCCAACAATAAGAGACTCACTTCGTCATGTCGGCGGCTGCTGTCAATGCCGCTGCGGCGAGCCGCGACTACAAGGATGAAGCCGAGGGCTTGGGGGTTTGGGTTTAGGGTTTAGGGGGTTCAGGGTTTAAGCTCTGGCTAGACCTGAGTCCAGTGGCAAAAAGGGTTTAATGACATTTAATGAGACCTTAACTAGCAGTAACTAGCACGATCTTTATTTCTTATTTTTTTTGCGAAGACCCGGAATTCTAGGATACACCGTAAGAACCCACGCAAATCGCTGAAACGGATCTCACATATCAAACCCTTGTTATAGGTACTCCTATATATCACCCAAGAACTCCTGCAGGTCTATCCGCGCATCGACTATCGAACGATCACGGGCGTGGAAGGACCCTTGGTCATCATGGAGAATGTGAAGACCCTAAACCCTAAACACCTAAACCCTAAACCGTATGGAAGGACCCTGGGTCATCATGGAGAATGTGAAGACCC